ATAATATTATCTAAATAGAATGAAAAGATTTTATAACATACTAAGAACTTGCATTACAATTAACGTTCAAAGTTAACACTACCATTTTTATACCTATAAAAATTGTTAGAAATAATTGACATAAAAGTCCTAATGTCTAATATAATTATAAGCATACTGTTCATATGTAGAAAGTTGAAAATATGATACTAATACATAAAGTATAAAATGTAGAAAACTTACAACTACACTGGAGGAAATTGACTACTTTTTAAAGTCAAATTATAAATATGAGTCAAGAATCAGTATCACAATTTCATGGTTTTTTTTTAAGTTCTAGAGTAGGCCAACTTCTGTTTTCTAAAATTACTTCACTCTGCTTACTTTATTATCTTGTCAATTATCATGGTTTATTGTGAAAAATTCTCCTTCCAGATTCATATGTAGTGCTGCAGAACAATTCTGACTTTTCTACTTTCAGAATAAGCCAAGAATTTGACATCAATAAGAACAACATTGGGCCAAAAATATTATTCCCTAATGCAAGTACAAACTGAAGTGATATTTTCCAAAATTCTCAGCTTGGAAAACCAAGGAAAATGAAAAATAATTTATGGAAGGGAGACTCTCTAGTACTTGACATTAAACATTTTAATTAGAAATGCATATGGGCCACATGTTAAAACTGTATTTCAATGTCTATCTGTAGAAACCACAGTATCTACCAGGATATAAGTTGTAAAGAGGAATAAGCTGTCTTTGCATCTTTTAAAAATTCTTTAGCATCTCTAGAGAGAGCATATACAGTCCAAGTAGATTTGAGTTGATTTAGTTGTGCTCTTATATCTATATATTATCTCAAACTTTCATGTTGCTCTATTTGTGTCTTCAAGAAGTTACTAGAAATTATGTAGGGGAAGATGCTTTCACATGCAAAACTGTTATGAAGATATATAATGATTTTTATGCCTATCAAATTAACACTCAGAAAATTAAGAATTTGTTAATATATTTGTTAAGATTTCCATGCAGTATCCATCTAAAGAACAAAATAGTAACCTTTGTACTGAGTAACATAGTGAAACTTATTAAGTTCTGTAAGGATTTTAAATTGAAATCTGTTCAAATTCCATTACTCAGGCTCCTAACTGTTTGATAATATGCCAGTCAGGAGGTGGTGATGAGAAGAACATCATTTTGAGGTCTGGTAGAGACCTAGCGGTGAATGATTTTAAGATTGTCTTTAAACTGTGAGATTCTACTAATTTCACAGAGAAACAACAGGTTTAGACAACACATTTTGTATTAATGATAGCTTGCATTGTGTGCATTTTTCAGCTAGCATACAGAAAAATTTGTAATAGCCTAATATGCAAAACACACAATTATTCTCTAGTGTTCTTGTCTTTGGTCTAAACAAAGAAACATATTTTGCATCAAATAATTGCCACATAGCTTCTTGTCATGAAATGTTAGAGAGCACACAACTCAAGTAACTGGTAATAATATTTGATTTTCAAAGTTCTATAATCAAATAAAGATGATAAACACTGAACCTGAAGGTAGAGACTATCTGTATAACAAATCTGATAAAACTTGTCGGTATGTAAATATACTTGGGAGAAGGCAGGAGAGCAGTTTTCAAAGCCAGACCACAAATGAAGTCTAAATGTGGGAATTGGGGCAGGGTGGAAGGGTCCTGACACATTTAGTTAAGCTGATAGTGGGGTGAGGCCAAGATAACAAAATGAGCTATGGTTGTACGAAATGTAATGCTTGCTTTCCCATCAAAACAAACACCAGGAGGCACAAGCACACATGCACAATATAGAGATTTGCGCTAAAGTAGTCTGTGGGCTCTGGGAAGCAATGAATACATTGAGATGCCTCTGGTGGGTTCAAGAGAGGCCTGATATACCCACCATTTGCTTCAAAAACCTAGGACTTACAATGCAAAGTTACTACCCTTGTTGAGGAAAAAGTTCAAAATATTCAGCACTTAGTGCTGAGATTAACATCGTAACACAGGTTGGCAGTGATGTCGGCGGTAGCTCAGTGCCCCTGATGCATACTTATGAAGAAAAAGGGTATTCTCCAGGAGAGCAAAAAAATTGCCTGTTAGAAGACTCAGATGATGGTGGAGAGGACAGGATACCTGAGCTGGAGCCACCAGTCTCCCAAACATCTCCTTCTGTTATGGATGAGAGAGTTAGAACAGTAGAGATGCACCACACTCTGTACCAGATCCCAGCCGCTTTATTATAGTGGGTGGCTGAGGAAGGACTAATGCTCAGGAAGTTTCCTGATCATTGGGAAATGGTTTGATTTCTCCTTTTCAATCATGCTTTCAGTTGGGAGAGCAAGTAGAATCTTACAGAAGCAGAACCATGCCAGTTTAGTGGGGGGCACAGGGAAGTTTCACACCTTTTAGGTGAGCTATAAAACAAGCTGCAGCTGCAGCAAGTTTATTGCCAAGCAGGATGTGGGGGCTTGGGGTGCTTTGTTCAAGTGCAAGCAATTTGTTTATGCACAGGCACAAAATGGCGTTGAGGCACAAGGTGGAGCCGGGCTGGCTATCACATTTCATAGAGCAAGCTCCAGAGCTGACTGCTGTAGAAGTAAACTGCCAAACCAAAGCAGCCTTGTTGTATGCCCTGACTGCCAGAAAGCCAGTTCGCCACAGTTATGGCACATAGCAGAAAGTTGTAGTTGTCTGCCTGCACGAGGTACATTCCCCAGAAACCAGTGGCCCTGGAAATAACTGGTAGTGAGGAGGCCTCTGTAGCTGAAGAGTGGTGAAAGCCTACAAGAGGGAATCCATTTGTAATGCACCATGGCTGCTTTAAACAAAGACCTTTTTCCAGTCACTTCAATACTACAGCGTAGTTTGAAATACAAGAAAGATTGTACCAAAAGGTGTTGGCACCTGGCCAGGTACCAGTCGGCTTTGTGAGGAGCCAGCTCATCAGGATCTCAAAAACAAAAACAGTTTTCTATGCTTCTGGCCTCAAGGGCATGACATCACACACATTTGTGAGTGATCTTTCCAGTGTCCTGTGTGTGAGAAGTGCTACCCCTCAAAGAAGTACCTTTTCCATTACCTAGGTTGTATGGTGCAAAGTTCCTTGACCTGTGTAAAGTGCAGATCAGCTTCAAGCTTTAAAAAGTTTTGCCAAGCACGAGAAGCCCCACATCAGAAAATTGTAAGGCCCATCCATCCTTTCCCTGGCCTTCTCCTACCTAGGTTGATTCAGAACTAGTAGAGAGCATAGGGGCTCTATGGGCAGGGGTTACTTCGTAGGACAGTTTCTTCATCTTTGGGGACTCAGGTAGGGCCCTGAGAGCTCAGAAAACCACAAAGGATCCTGTGCAGACACGGACATGCTTCACACCAGGATTAGAAAAACAGGTCCCCCCTAGTGATGACCAAAACACAGTTACCCATGATTCAAGCCTGAGTTGGCAGCTAAAAGTCTGAGGGTCGTATGATTGTTCATTTATTTCGTTGTTATTTTTGTACTGAATGTTCATTAAAATAAGTGATGTAGAGAGAAGAGCAACAAAAACAAAAACAAAAACATCACTGTCCACTCACGAAGTATTCAGTGGAACCCGAGATAATCTGTGAGAGTTGATCTAGAATGAGGCACTCAGTGGTAGAGCGGCCCCAGCAACACACACACACAGTCAATGAGAACTGATTTGATGGACACTTTACAGGGCCATTTTTTACTTTTACAATACCCCTCGTAGGGCTGAGGTTATGAACTACATTACAGCTCAACTTCTGCCCAACTCTGCTTCTCTTACCCCTCTTCTATAGGTATTATTTTCAAGGATTCCCCCTAAAAAAACTTCTGATCATGTGATATCATCTTAGAGACTTCCTCCCCAAAAATCCAAACCAGTGACAATGGATACAAGCAGTGGGCCAAGAAACAAGATAGTCAGCGGCGTCCCACAGCCAGGACAGTCATCACTGGCTGTGAATAGGATCACATGATTAGTAGCAGGTAGGCATAGATCAACCTCAGCCCAGTGTTGTACAAAATAAATGCACAGTTTATGAATTACTTAAAAGATATGGAAGAAATAGTAAATTTAAAGACAATAATATTGCAAGGGCTAAACTCAGTACATGTTTCGTGAAAAAGTTAAAAAAAACTCAGTTCCACAGGCAAGTGAAAATCAAGCACATGCCTCTAAATTAGAATCCATTCATTTAATCTCCAAGACTAGACTAAATCAGAAACTGTGTTGACTGAGGGATATGTTAGTAATTTCTGTCAATATTAAAGTTTCAAGGGATGCAAGGTAGAGAGGGGGAACTTGTGAAAGTATCCTATCACTTCTCTATCTCTCCAGTCTATTCACTATATAAATTAGAAAGAAGTTTTAAGATAAAAATAGATATTTACATATACACATTTAATCTGGCAATAGTTCTAATTACAGCTACCTTGCTAGGCGCAGTTGATTTTCTAGAGTAGATTAGTAAACTCTCTGGGTGTGGCCTGGAGCCATCGATTTGTTAAGTGTTTTATTTTTTAATCCACATCATTTTCACCAAAGGAGTTTCCACTGTGACGTAGAACACAAAGCAGAAAACATTTAGTTTTGCCCCAGAATATATTTACAGTTTTACATTTACAGGAGTGTTATGTTACCTCTTCTATTTTTTTTTTATTGAGTTTATTGGTACATTTAGGGATACAGTACAGTTACATTCATTGTTGGGATCATGTACCTCTACATGGCAAGTCTTGATTCTCATTTTTTTCCCCTTACCTCTGCCCTCCCTTCACCCCCTCCTCCCCTCCCCATCTACAAACACTTTATTTTCATCTTTTCATTCTCTCACATTTTTTTCTTTTCCCTTTTTGTTCTTCCCCTACCCATCCCACCTTCCCTACACCTTTAGCTCCTTTCCTCCCATTTCTAAATGTCAGTAATCTTATTAGAATCTTATGCATTGTTGCAGAATACCTCTTCTATTTTGTGTCATAATATACTCCAGAGAGATCCAAATCCTCGAGGCGGCCATCAGAGCATTACATTGAGCTACTACTGGAGGACCCCATAGGCTTTGTTGAAATACAGGCATTACTGGGGTAAGTATCAATTCCATGAGGATCTACTGCCACACCAGTGTTCTTGTGAGGGGTCCGATGGACTGAGGTGTGCTAGGGCAAAGTATTTCATCTTACACCTTTCAGTTTAATCTGTGTCTTCCAATATCACTAGGAAAAAAAATGCAAATACCTCTCTCTGACTTAGGAAAAAAAAACCTATGTGATACACCTCTGCCTTTCCTTTAACTTTCTGTGTTATAAATTCCTCAGGTTTTTTACACAAAGTTTGGTAAGTTTTCCACTGCTTTGCATAAATTACCAAAAATTAGCTACTTCATACCAGTGTTACTATTTCATTAGATCAGAGTCTGCACATGACTTACTTGGGTTTTCTGCTCAAAGTTGATAGCAAAGCATCATCCAGAGCTCTGTTCTGTTTTAAAGCTTAGGCCCCTGCTATCACATTTTTCAGACTATCAGCAGAATGTAGTCCCTAGAGCAGGAGTGAGGAACCTATGGCTCACAAGCCCAGAGTGGTAGGAAGAGCCTTCTGGAATGATGTCCTGAGCTGTCTGAGTGGTTTTTCTAAATTAAAAGCTTAGTACTGAAGATTCATTGCAGTGTTGGCACTTAGTGATAAATAAATGGGCTTTGGGTTGCCGTTTGGGCACTCAGTCTCTAAAAGGTTCACTATTGCTGCTCTGTAGCTACAGGATTTGCCCCCCATCGGATGCTGACTCATGCTTAGGACTTTCCCCAGTCCCTAGAAACCACCTTCAGTTCTCATCCACATGCCCCTCATAGACAACTCACAACACCTGCTTTCTCCCAGGTGCGTAGGAGACTGGAAGAATTCTCTGCAGCCTGACAACTCTAGCTTCTTTCCTGAGTCTGTTTAACGAGGTCAGTCTAGGACTGAAAGTTTGTGTAAACACCAAGGCAGAAACCCTAGGGGGTCATCTTAGACTTCTGCCTACTTCGGTGAGAAATACCAAGGCCTAAGACTGGCTTTATTTTAGCAGTAAAAAAATCCCATGTTCCAAGAAATCCCTCAGGCCTGACCTACTAAACTTCTATCATGCTGGCCTTGTGCACTCTCCAAACCTTCATGACTATTTCTCCTTAGGACTTTGACATTTGAATGTATTCTTACTAGTATTTCATATCAAATATTACCAGCAGAGATTCAGTTATTTTTAGAAGAGGCAATAAAAAGAGTAATTGTCATAAACTAGTAAAGTATGTTAGTACATTAGAAGATGAAATACAACATAAGCTAATGAAAATGGGTATATTACACTTCTAAACTGGTATATCATAATGAAAAGGTGACTTTTAAAGAATAAACGAAAGAGGGCACTAGCCTGTAGGATGTCTGAGGACAGGGTATTCCATGGTACAGTTGATTTTAATTGCTTAAAATGCAACATGCCGGGCATATTCAAATCTACCCAAGGAGGAAAATATAATAGTAATGGAGTGTGGATAAAAGAACTAAGAGAAGAATCATCAGAGATGTGCTTTGCAACCAGCTTATGTAAGACATCATTATAAGATGTACATCACTATAAGACTTTGTTCTCCTAATTAGCTGGGAATTCACTGGGGAATTCAGAGCAGAAGCGAAATTTTATCCGATAAATTTCGTAGGATTTACTCTGGCTATTGTGTTGAGAATATATTGAGTATGGAGGATAGGTAGAAATAAGGAGACAATTTCAGACAGTATGCAACAGTCTGTGTAAGTGATTACAGAATAAACCCTTAAATGTGATAAATACCAGACATTGACAGACTGATGATACAGAATAGGGGGAAAAAATACTGGAGGGCTATCTTTAAGTAAGAGAGATGGGCTTTACTAAAAAACACTAAAACTTCCTATATAGTAAGAGGCAGAGAGACAGAGTTTATATGTACAAATTTGTGTCGTAGGTATATAAATGTCAGGGTAGGAACCTGGAAAAACATGAAGGCAAGGTTTTCAGGAAAGTAAGTATAAGGTGGTAGCAGGAATGTTGGAGCAGGAGGTAGGTAGTGTGAAGGAATCCTATAGTGTTAGAGGGTGATCTATGACAGAAATGTGAGATTACGTGGCAGTTCAGAGTATGTTTTTCCTGTTTTGGGTTTCTTTTCTCTTTTCTTTCCTTTTTTTTTTTTTTCCACGGGGGAGAGGAGTACTAAAGAATGAGGCCAACTAGAATATCTGCGTGTGTGTGTGTGTGTGTGTGTGTGTGTGTGTGTGTGTGTGTAAGCGTGATTCTAAACACATTTAGCTGAGTGGTGCTGGTGAAAACAGATAGAAAGTTGGATTTATATAGCCCTGCAGTTTGCGTGAGTACAATGAAGGAGGAGTAAATGATTGTAAAGTTTGATTTATAATCATTTAACTTATAAGAAAGTTCCTGTGTAAGGAAGGCTGAGAAAGTATCACAGGAGAAAGAGACAATTGTCGGGATGTTATAAAAGAAAATACTCCATTGTAGATGACTACAATCTGATAGTTTGAGGACACCCATGCCCAAACATGAGAGTGACCAAAATCCAGATCTTCATGGACCAGTGTTCCTTGTTTACCTACAGGGAGTTGTTTGTTTTGTAATATTCTTTTTTGCTTTTGTTTTATTGTTAGTTTTATTTTCTTACTTTTTCATAAATGTTAATAATTTGGGAGTAATGAAAGTAACCACTAGGAAAACCAACCCCAGTGAGACACTGTGCATCCCCTCTAATACATTCTTGACTCAAGCCTTTGAACAGGCATAACACTTTACAGATGCTTGCTGTGCTTTACATCTAAAATGTCCCTAGGTGCGGGTTTTGGAAGGTGACTGGATCGTGGAACCACTGCACTCGTGACTGGAGTCATTCACGAATAAGTTCAGTAGCTGAGTGTGCTGGAGCGGGAGCTGGTTAGAGATAGGTCACTGGGGTTGGGAGCCTCTCTTATCTCTCCCTCCTGGCGTCTGGGATATGAGCAGCTTTCCTCCACCAGACTCTACCAAATGCTGTTTCTCCCTTGGGGCCCACTGGCCATGCATAGACTGAGATCTCTGAAACTGTGATCCAAAATAAACTTCTCCTCTTTACGTCGTGGGCGCCAGGTATCATGTCTCATCAGCAATGACAACGTGACCAAGACCATGCTCCTTACTTTCCAAAAATGCATCATCTTAGGTTGTGATAAGCATATGTGGTGAATTCAGAGTCCACACCTCAGATCCCCCTACCATTTCGAAGAAAAATTAACCAGTGTCTCCACAAACTATACACTCATATCTATCAGTGCATTTGCATCCATGGGGTACCCTTTCCAATTCAAAATGATCTAAACACACAATTTAACATAATTATATATTTTAAAATTTTTATTTATTTTCCATATATAGTTGTCCCTCTGTTCCACACAGCACTGACTCTAGGACACTCCAAAGCACTCAAATCCATGAATGCTAAATTTTCACATATAAAATGGTGTATTTCTATTAATCCCATGCATATCTCCTTCCATAGCATAATTTAAGCCATCTCTTAATAAGATATAGTAACTAATACAATGTACATGCAATGTCAATAGTTGTCCCACTACATTTCTTATAGAATGACCAAAAGTTTGTTTTCATGTGTTGTGCACAGATGCGAATTAAAAAGATATTTTTTTGATTTGCAGTAGGTTGAATCTATAGATGTTAAAACCTTAGATACAGAGGACCAGTCAGCTACACTCTAAACTGTTAATTTATAATGTGAAAAATATGTATATTATTTAAATAACAAACTAATAATAAAGCTACTATAGAATTATTGAAGTTATACCATGTAATTTCTTTTATTCATATGTCCTAATGTCTTCTCTCCTATTGAAGATCTCATAGGAAGCAAATGATATTAGTTTTCTCCTCTGTAATTTTATTGAATATGTATTGTGCTGTTTTCAACTAACCATATACAATATATAATAATAATAATACTGTATACACTTACTCCAATCGAAACCTTGTTGTCAAATTAGAGACAGCGCTGAAAATCCCTTAGTGAAGACAGACACTTCTTCCTCTTCCTGCCCAAACAGAAAATGCCAGGAGAGGAGCCAATGTGAAGAGAACAAAATGATATATAATTTATTTTTCTCATTTTTCAGATATGTATTATGCACATGACATATGCGGGCACATATGTGTTTATGAATATCAGTTATATACTGAATATGTTCACTCTTTTAGGTTTTTATATGTATATAATACAATTATAATGAATTTTAATGTCCTTGCCTATTGATTCTAATATTTGCTTCAGACTTACATCAGTTTTAAATGATTAAATTTTTTCCTTAATGTGATTTATATTCTTTTATTTTTGCATGCCTGATAATTTTGGTTAGATATTTGACAGCACAAATGTTATCTTGCTTAAATTTGAAATTATTCTACTACATAAGAAGTACACTCATGTTTTATTCTATGATACAATGGAAAATTGTTTAATTCTTTATATTTTTATAAATTTGATTAAAACTGGAACAGTTTTTATTCTAAAGTTAATTATTGCCTTTTACAGGTGCATCGTGGGTTTAATTCTGTCTTCTCAAAAAGAGATAGTTATATTCTAACACCCATTACTTCATAATGTGACCTTATTTGAGAAATAGGATCTTGATAGATTTCATCAAGTTAGGATGAAGTACTAGCGTGTTCTCTAATCAGGAGTAACTGATGATCTTATAAAAGTGAGAAATTCATAACAGGCACACACAAGGCTGAGGTGGCCATGTGAAGACTGAGGCAGCAACGATACCAGGAGCCAAAATGTCTGATATCACCAGAAGTTATAAAGATATAAGAAGATTCTCCCTCACATCCTTCAGAAAGGACCAACCATGTCAGTACCTTAAATTTGAACTCTTAGTCCTTAAAACTGTGCAAAAATGTGTCTGCTGTTTAAGCCACCTGTTTTCTGATACTTGTTACAGCAGCACCAGGGGACTAATACTTGTGGTAAGACATTCTGAATATCCTACTAAATCCCTGTAAACAATAGTCTTTTCCAGCCTAAATATGGTAACAGACTGTATTCTTAGGTCTTTATGAGGCCAGGATACTGTTTCAAATCCTATGTTATTATTCACTCAACAGGATTCTGTCAAATACTGGAGAATACTAAAGTTGTCACTTTTGTGGTTCTTTTGTCTCAGGTATCTTCTGATAACTGGAGCAATCTTGGTCTGTCCCTAATTTTCAGCCCTCCCTCATGAAGTAATGGAATCCACTGTACTTCACCTGATTTCTCTATGCTGCACCCTGAAATTTCTATCAAAATTGTAATCTTAAGGTGAGCAATTATAGGAGTCACCCTCTTCTCCCTCAGGGATTATTGACCTACATTACCTCATAGCAGTTTCTTCAAAACCATTGTTTCATATGTTTTGTCTGTTTTTACCACCCATTGCTTCAGGTATAAGGGTAAATTTGACATTTCTTTTTCTCCATCTTGGACAAAATGGAAGTCTACTTCATATATGTACTGTTTTTATTACTTGCATACTTTTTAATTACTAGCATTCTTAAAATTATTTAAATATTTTTATATTCCCAAATAAAATCTTAAACACAAACATATCCTTCAGGATATATCATTGCTATATCTTAAAAGACTTAATAAAATTTTACAACTATGAGATAGTATGTAAATTATCTCTGTTGGTCTAATTCATCGCTACTTATTTGGCTGTGTTTCATCTTTCACCACGGTATTTCAGCCCACTGAGCTTTAAATTCCTCACCTGCCTAAATATGTTTATACTCAGAGCATTTAAACTGTTATTCTTTATTTCTGTTTATTTTCCCTGATATTTCTCCATGGGTATCTGCCTTTCATTATTGAGGTCTCAATACAAACATTTCCAATTTAGATTTTTTTTTTTCTTTTTTTTGTACCAGGGATTGAACTCAGGTCCTTGCATTGGCAAGGCAGGCGGTGGAACCACTGAGCTAAATCCCTGGCCCTTCTCTGATCCTTTCTAAACTAGGATACCTACTTGGTAGCTATGTTTCACTATTTTGTTTTATTCAAATTATTTTTCTTTATTTAAAGTATTACACAAAGTTAATTAGCTACTTATATTCCCTTAGAATATACATTCCATTAGAAACCCAAATTTCCCTTTCTTATTTTTAGCTCTATCTCCCATGTATCTTTTGTGTCCACTGAAGATGCATAGTTGTGCTGATTAAATGCTTTTGGACACTAGCTTAATAAATTTAATAAAGTAAAATAAGTAACTAAAATTTTCATCTTGCAATCCCCTGGATTATTAATCACTTTGTAACATTTTGCTTTTTCTCTTATACATATAACAATATGATATTTCTGTAAAAGAGCTCCATGTTATCTGTTAAAATTACAACAAAAAATAACATACATATTCTACGAAAGCTAAGAATAGCATTTTTTAGTTATGTTTCTGCTATTAAGTGAGAGTCCAACATTCAGAATCTTTATATTTCTGCTATAAAATCATTTATGATTCCTATCATCTCCAATTTCCATAATCATATTTCAACTATTGCTTTGAGGACAAACCAATTTCAAATGTTATAGTTGAGGAGAAAATGCAATTCCGTTTTGTTGCTTCTTTAAAGATACAATAACTGAAAAACTTTGTGAAAATTTTTTATTAAATAAAATTCTGGGTGAAATATAAAAGATCTGTAGCAATACAATAACTGTGTCAGTCTTTTAAAAATATTATTCTTATCTGTTGGAAATAAGAGAAATGTGAAACAAGAAAATAAGATCTGCGTATGTATGTAAATGTGTGTTTTGGCCAGAAATATGAGTTTAAAATCTCTTGCAATATAGAATAATGTTTTTTGTGCTGGGGAAGGGGAAAGCTATTACATCCATTTATGGAAATCAGATTCCACAATGTAGAATGGCGTCAACAAAATAAGTCTTCATTTAGCTGTTTTTATAAAGTAGTATTGATGGACTCACAGAATTGATGGAGTCAGATAAAAGTAACTTCAGGCACTGTAAACTCCAAAAAGATTTCCATTACAACCATCCAGGGACTTCTTTGTCCTCAGATTTTGCCAAGCATATGGATTTAATGAGTGATGGATTATTCTCTATATGCTGAACTTTGCATGTTCTATGATTAGCAAAATGTGTGTGTGTGTGTGTGTGTGTGTATATAT